GTCGTACTTCTTGCAGATATTTCAGACACTTCTTAGCAATTGGCAGGTTGGTATAAACCCCCAACCCAGACCAACCCTATGATAGGGTTGGGGTGCCTTCAGCTGTATGAGGTCATCACCAGCTTAGATCAGGACTCAACACTTGCTTCAGTCCTTTGGCCAGGTCGGAACCCTTCTGCTGTCCATCTCATTCACACGCATTCACACAGCACATCCTCCAACCCTCCACCCTAATCCTATGAGTCAATGGGTTTGTCTTGAGACAAGTGTTTACTTCCACTGCCTTTCAGTCCTTTCCTTTGGACTGGAGACTACTAGCGGACTCCAGGAGGTGATCAAGCTCCCCTTCTGCCATCTACTGGCAGGTCTATGCAAAGGCCTTGTTCCTATCCTTTCTGTCAGGCGGTCCTCACACCAGTTCCTCATGCCTCTTGGGAGTCCCTGTGCTTTCGAAATCCAAACCTCAGTGCACCGGGAGGGGCCTCCCTCCTACGGATCAAAAGGTGTGTTGTGTGCCAGGTGAGATTGCCTCTCCTAACACCCCAGGAATCATACCCTGATGACAAAGGAGATGGAACACACCGTCTCCAAACTCTTCATTTCCTGGCCAATGTACAAAGAAATGTTGTAGAAAAGCAGAGAGACCATGACACCAAGGCTATCTGAGGAAGCAGTGGTTTATTAGCGCTGGCACGACTCAGCGGGCTAATGCTCCAAGGCTGAGCAACCTGGAGAAAGAGGAGAGGGGTTTTATATGTTAGTTTAGGTAAGGGAGGGGGGCTGAGTTGTATGGCTATACATTTTTCTTTGGAATTTGCAAGGTTGTATTTAGCAAAACCAGATTTTCAAAGAACAAGTTGTTTCCAGGTTATACATGACAAACAGGGGTTGTAAACAGATAACGTCACAAAGAGAGGATATGGGGCTAAGGTTGTGAATAGGTTACTATCTTGCATTTCCAGAAAAGTGACCTTTGGCTATTTGGTTTTCATTCCATGTCTAGCAGGTCTGGAACTTGCTGGTTGATTTTTAAAAGGAATAATTTTAACTGTTTTCAGCCCCTCTCTGCCACAATTTGAATATGGACAGGATATGAGTATTGACACATTAGTGTTAAATATTTTAAATTTGATATTTCATAATGGAAAGAAGTAGAATTTTTATGGTCTCTGCAGTCTGCTACTGCACAACTAGGACTAACACTGGAAGGCTGGGCATGGTGGCTCAAGCCTGTCATCCCAGCACTTTGGGAGGTCAAGGCAAGAGGATTACCTAAGCCCAGGGGTTCAAGACCTGCCTGGGCAACTTGGCAAGAACTTGTCTCCACAATAAATAAAAAAATTAGCTGGACGTAGTAGTGTGTACCTGTAGTTCTAGCTACTTGGAAGGCTGACACAGAAGGATCGCCTGAGCCTAGCAGGTCGAGACTGTGGTGGTGGTGAGCATGCCACTGCGCTCTAGCCTGGGCAACAGAGTGAAACTCCAACTCAAAAAAAAAAAAAGACTAACACTGAAATTCTGTGGGATCAGAGGACAGAGATTACTTTTACATTTAGACACCTTTCAAATAAAAGCTTTGCACTGTGAAACAACCTAGTGAAAATGACAGGATATAAAAGTAATTACAGATAAGATTGAGTTCACACATTTCAAGGTACCTGTCACTTTGGTTTTAGGATTCACAGAACATGTGCTAATGGGATTATAAATCAAAGAAGCAAAACCAAGTTGTTCATTCTAGGTTTAGGATCAAGAATTTACAGTGGAACAACTTCTACCTGTGCATAGGAAGATTTATGGCAGGTCAATATTCTAAGAACTAGAAAAGCTAGACACAAAAACAACATAAAAGCAAAACACTGAAAACAATTCAAATATCCAATAATTGAATATTGGTTGATTAACTGCATGATATTCAATTATGAAATAACACACTTAAATTTATTATTCTTAAATCTACTTTAAAATATGGGGAAATGTTCATCATGTGGAGGCATGATGTCACAATAATTGCAAAACACAGGGGGAGAAATGTATTTTTCATTTGGGAACATACCAAAATGATAGGTAATTATGAGTGGCAAGATTGGTGTGCATTTTTTTTTTTTTTGGTTCTTGTTTTTGCTTTTGTCTTTTCCAATTTTCTAAAAGGTGTGCCAATTTTATAATCAGAAAAATTTAACAGTAACATAAAAGTGAGTAGAAGCTTGTTTTGTGCTGCTTGAAACATATTGTATATATAAAACCATTCTATTGACCCTGAGTATCTATTTTATTGGCAGATTTTATGCAAGCATATCTACTGAGCTTATAAAAGATTCAGCTAAGTAAAACTAATTAACTGATAACCCCTTTTATATTAACAATCATTACATTTTGTCATATAAATCTTTTTTTTCTTTTGAGTCAGAGTCTTACTCTTGTCACCCAGGCTGGAGTGCAGTGACATGCTAACAGTCAATGCAGCCTCAACCTGGTGGGCTCAGGTAATCCTTCTGCCTCAGCCTTCCAAGTAGCTGGAAATACAGGCACATATCACCACGCCTGGCTAATTTTCTGATTTATTGTAGAGATGAGGTTTCATCAAGTTGCCCAGGCTGGTCTTGAATCCATGGGCTCAGGCAATCCTCTCACCTCAGCCTCCCAAAGTGCTGGGATTATATTATAGGCACACTGCCTGTAATATAAATCTTTTAAAATTATATCATATGTTTAGTTACCTCATTAAATATATTAGCAAACCTCATTAAATATTTCAGGAACACTAAAGGCTATTATTCTGACATATTCGCTGTACTAAGCTGTAAAATAATGATGCCCTTTAGAGTTACTGATGGATGCACAGTTACCTTTTTTGTTGGCTAAATTTACCAGGATTGCTGTTTCAGAGTGACATCTGTCTCCCATAATACTAATGTGTAGGGCCATGTTACTTAAAACATATCCAGTACTATTGGAGTGGGGTGGAAGCAGGGGGACACAACATTAATAAGAGTATCTGATCTCAAACCACGCAGAGGGGACCAAAGGGAAGCTCAAACTTCATCTGTACAATGACCACTTGTATACCTAATCCTGAATTATACCCCACATCTTTAAAATTGAAACAAAAATCCAGCATTACCTAGGAGTTTGTGAAACATGCAGAAGCTCAGGACCCACTCCAGACCTACTGAGTCAGAATCTGTATTTTCAAGATCCTCAAGTGATTCATGTGCATATTAATTTTCTGAGTCAGAGTCTCACTGTCACCTAGGTTGGAATGTGGTGGCACACTCACGGCCACTGCAGCCTCGACCTGCTGGGCTCAGGTGATCCTTCTGCCTCAGCCTCCCAAGTAGCTGGAACCACAGGTGTGTGCCACCACATCTGGCTAATTTTTTTATTTACTGTAGAGACGAGGTCTCATCATGTTGCCCGGACTGGTCTCAAACCCCTGGGCTCAGGTAATCCTCTTGTCTGGGCCTCCCAAAGTACTGCACATTAATTTTTAAGAAATACTACCCTAGGCTACAAAGGTGCAATTTCTTGGTTTTTTTTTTTTTTGTCCTTCTGTATTAACAATCAAATGAAAAAGGCTGGTTTTTGCAGTCACTTCTCCAGTTGTAACCAAGTGCTTTTATTCATAGGTCTTCCCATCTGTTACTTCCACCTTGTCCTTTGCACATTTTTGTCTCAGATCATAAGGGAAAGTGGTAATGGAAAATGAGGTGATCAAATTCTATATATAAAATTCAAATGTTTCCATGCTGAATCTCTGTTTTACATAGCAGAAGCAGAAGGATATACAGTAGGCCCACTATAACTGTGGGTTACCTATCAATGGATTCCATCAACCACAGCTTAAAAATGTTCAAAAGAAAAAGAATGACTGTGTCTGTACTGATCGTGTACATATTGCCTTTTTGTCATTATTCCCCACATATACAGGATAATAATTTATATAACACTTACACTGTATTAGGCATTATAAGCAATCTAAAGCTGATTTAAAGAAAATATCGGCTGGGCATGGTGGCTCATGCCTATAATCCCAGCACTTTGGGAGGCGGAGGCAAGAGGATAGCCTGAGTCCAGGGGTTCGAGACCAGCCTGGACAACTTGGCAAGATTTGTCTCTGCAATACACCAAAAAGTTAGTTGGGTGTGCTAGCGTATGCCTGTAGTTCCTGCTACTTGGGAGGCTGAAGCGGAAGGATCACCTGAGCCCAGCAGGTCAAGGCTGTGGTGGCCATGAGCATGCCACTGCATTCCGGCCTGGGTGACAGAGTGAGACTCCAACTCAAAAACAAAAAAGTCATTATTCTCTAAATATACAGCATAATAGCAATTTATATAGCATTTACATTGTATTAGGTATTACAAATAATCAAAAGATGATTTAAAGCATATGGGAGGCTATACATAGGTTATATGCAAATACTACACTATTTTATATAATGAATTTGGGCATTCATGGATTTTGTTATCCAAGGTGGAGGTTCCAGAAACGAATTTCCCATAGATATCAAGGGACAACTGTAATTATATCAGCTCTGTTTTCTAAGCGCTGGGACTTTATACACTCTGACACTTCTGAAGTTCTTGAATGTTGTACCTGCTGATGACATTTACAGGACATGAATATACTGCTAGTTAATTTTCCTAAAGAACATGCCAGAATTTATATGCCCAACTGATTTCTGCCTTTTTCAAAGGTCATCCTGGAAAAGAGAGTAAGTGTAACTTTCTTTATTTAAAATCTTTCCATCACTTTTCTTTCAAAATTGTCAGTAGTCAAGATAAAACAATATAATAAATTCCTTTTTGCTGTCAAAGCTTAGCAACAGAGTGAGGCTCCAATTAAAAAAAAAAAAAATTCCTAATTCCATCACTGATTTTGTCATTCAGAACCATTTGGTAACCTGCTGTTTAAGTAGTTTCTACAAATTAAGTACATCAAAGTACAAAGACATGCTATTCTAGTGGAAACTCATATGTACTCAATGCCACTTTAAAAAGTTACAGGAAAGACAAAAGGTTTATTGTAAGCATTATTTCCACTGAATCTGGCATATCTCTTCCAAGAAAAAAGTCACAGCACTTAATAGTTGACATATAATTTTTTCAGTTATAATATCCACTTTAAAGAAATGGCAAGGCAGAAAACAAAAGTAAATTCACTTAAAAAAATTAAAAACACACAAGGAACCTTAATAAATCTACTTTTAATTTCCAAAAGAAATTAATCCAGAATGAACAGTAATATACAACAGACTTTTGTTTCTTTTATAAAAAATCTAATTTAATACATTTTTCCTTATTTATGCATATGCTATATATAATTCTATCTTAGATTTAGGACTTCTAACAGGATTAAACATTTTCTTGGAACTATTACATTATGCCTATGAAGGGTTTGAATTTGTCATTTCTTCCTGTCTTACATTCCAGTTAATTACAGTGTACTCCAGAGAAAAAGATTTCCATAAATCATTAATGACCGGATTCCATTTAAAAAAAAGTTTTCAGCAAGTGTGAAAGTAGAATGCTCTTTATCAATTCATGATATGAGAAAAAAAAAGTAGACGATGCATTCTTCTACAAAAAAAGTGGGTTTAGAGAACAGTTCTGATAGTATTTCACATGGTAAAGTAATGAAAGGTCTAATAAGCAGCCCCCTTTCTCAGAGGGAAAATATGATTTCAGTGTGTTCCTCTTCTAAATTACTCAGTAATTCCAAGTAATTTTCAAATTGGGAGGCAGATTGCTGGCATTAAGTTCATCAAATTTAGATCTATCTTGAACAGGTACATTATAGAAATCAAGAACATCTCTAACCCTGCACATCTGGTGAAGCCTGGAGTTAGGAACTACATGGCCCAAGTCATCAGCCAAATGTGCCAAGAGACTGAACTTCAGATGAACATCTTCCAAGGAGATGTCCTGCCAATTAGTAGAAAGAGATGAACCAAAAATTTCTTTAACACAAGATTCCAAATGATTCTGGAGATTTTCGGGTGGTATGTATGTTCGGTTTCGTAGGGGAGGACACACCAGGATAGGTTCCTTTTTCACCTCTTCTACGGTCTCAGCTACCACTGGTTCTTTCTCTTTCCTGGTATGATTTAAAAAAAAGTAAATATTTGGTTTATGTAATTAATAAAGTCTGCAAACAACAAACTAAATCATGACCATCAATCAAAATAAATAACTTGCACACTTACTACTCTCTAGGTACTGTGGAGAACAAGAAAGAGTAAGACAGGTCCTTGCCCTTTACAGTTGAATTGAGTTGGCACAGGCAAACAAAAGCTCCATATACATTTTACATACAGCAAGAATTCTAAAGAATGGGTGAAGTAAGGTAAATCATTCTGTCTGGGATTTTGAGTCCTCCAAGATCCAACCTCAGTCTATCTAACCTTATCCCTCACTAATCTCCTAAATATACCATTTGCTATTCAAATTAAACTATATTGTTTCTCATATATACTCTTACCTTCCTAATACCATGTGTTAGGAAAAGGTCAAATTATGAGGCCACCATACCCTGTACCAAAGCCAAAGACACCACAAGAAACTACAGGCCAATATTCCTGATAAACATAGTTGAAAAAAATTCTCAACAAGATACTAGCAAACCAAATTCAACAGGACATCAAAAATATTTTATACTGAGACCAAGTAGAATTTATCATTGAAATGCAAGGTTGGTTCAATACATGTAAATCAATAAATATGATGTGCCACATTAACATAAAGTCAAAACCACATGATCACCTCAATAGATGCAGAAAAGGCGCTTGACAAAGTTCAGTACTCATTCATGAAAAAAATCTCTAAATAAAGGAAATTTACCTTGAAACAATAAAGACCATTTAGAAATCGCTAATGGCATAATCAATGGATAAAAATTAAGTTTTTCCTCTAGAATCCAGTACAAGGTAAAGATGCCTACTTTTACCACTTCTATTAAACACATTACTGAAAGTTCTAGCTAGCAGTATTAAGGAAGAAAAAAGTTATTCAAAATAAAAAAGTAAAACAGTCTGCTTGTAGATGTCATGTTCCTACAAGTAAAAAACCTCAAGGACTCCATAAGAAATCTGTTAGAACTAAGAAATTAGTTCAGAAAAGTTGCAAGGTATAAATCTTCATATAAAAATTAGTAGCTTTTCTCTATAGAAACTATAAGCTATGTGAAAAGACAATTTAAAAAACAAACCCATTTACAATAGCATCAAAAAAATCAAAGTACTTAGGAAGAAATTTAACTAAGAAGGTTTACAGATCTATACACCGAAAACTATAAAACAATAATGAAAGAAACTGGAGATGACACAAGTAAGTGGAAAAATACCTATGTTTGTGAACTGGAAGAACTAATACTGTTAAGAAGTCTGTATTAGGCCGGGCGCGGTGGCTCAAGCCTGTAATACCAGCACTTTGGGAGGCTGAGACGAAAGTATTGCCTGACCAGCCCGGGCAACTTGGCAAGACCTCCTCTCCACAATAAATCAAAAAGTTAGCTGGACATGGTAGCGCGTACCTGTAGTTCCAACTACTTGGAAGGCAGAAGCGGAAGGATTGCCTAAGCACAGCAGGTCAAGGCTGTGGTGGCCACTGCACTCCAGCCTGGGAACCAGAGTGAGACTCCAATGCAAAAAAAAAAAAGAAAGATAAAAATATATCCACACTACTTAAAGTAATCTACAGATTCAACACAATGCTTACCCAAACTCCAATGGCATTTTCCACATAAATAAAAGATAAAATCCCAAAATGTGTATGAGACCACAAGAGATCACCAACAGCAAGAGCAATCTTGAGCAAGAAGAACAAAGTTGGAAACATTATACTTCCAGAATTCTACTACAATGCTACAGTAATCAAAACAGTATGGTACTGGCTAAGGATGCACAAGCCCAAGGAAAAGAATTGAGAGCCCATAGATAAACCCAAGCATACACAGTAAACTCATTTTTGACAAAGTTGCCAAGAATACACAATGGGGGAAAGAATAACCTAATCAATAAATGGTGTTGGGAAATAGAATATCCACATGCAAGAATAAAACTGAACCTTTATCTCACACCATATACAAAACTCAACTCAAAATAAAGTAAAAGACTTAAATATAAGGTCCAAAACCATAAAAACTCCAATAAGACAACATGGAAAAAAACTCCTTGACATTAGTCTTGGCAATGATTTTGTAGATATGATGCCAAAAGCACCAAGGCAATAAAAGCAAAAACAAAAAGCAAAACAGAACACAAACAAGTAGCAATATATCAAACTAAAAAGTTTCTGCACCCCAAGGGAAACAACAAAATGAAAAGACAATCTACAGATGGGGAGAAAGCATTTGCAAACTATACCTCAGATAAGATCTGATGTTTGATAATATATGAAATATATACAGAACTCGAACAAATCAATGGCAAGAAAAACAAAAAAAAACCTGATTAAAAAATGAGTGAGTGACTTAAGTAGACATATTTTCATAGACTACATACAGATAGCCAACAAGTAAAAGGTGCTTGACATGAGTAATCATTAGGGAAATGTAAATCAAAACCACAACAAGAGGAGACAGAGCAAGGCAGCCAAATCGAACTTTCAAGTAATTATGCTTTCTGCCTTCATGGGAACTTCAAATTGAACAACTATCTATGCAAGAAAGCATCTTAATAAGAATCAAAAAATCAGGTGATGGATCATAGTATCCACTTTTAGCATAACAGGAAGCATTGGGCAACCCCCTCAGGTCCCCTCCCACTGTGGGAGTTTTTCTGTCCTCTTAATAAATCCTACTTTCTAAAGAAAATAAAATACCAATAACAAGCAGCATTGAAATTAGTTAGGACAGCCTTGCAAACACCATACCTTTCCCAACTCTAGGCACTACAGCTAGGAAAGAGAATCTGTGTACCTGAGGGAGGAAAAGCAAAGTCAATGTGGAACTTTGCATTAGAACTCAGCACCACCCTGTCACAGAGAAACACAAAACCAGGCAGAAATCCACCACTGTCCATGAAGGGAGCATTTAGACTAGCCCTAGGCTACAGGGGAATTCAACCACTCCAGCAGGAAGAAACCAATTTCTGGTTGGCTTCACCACCAGCTAATTAGAGTAACCTAAGACCCAGAATAAACTTCACTGGCAGCCAGGCCACAGCAACCGGGGTTCTTGGAAAAGCCCGTGTTGAACTGGTCTCAGAGGCTGTAGGCTAGGGGTGCAACCCAGCAAGCATAACACCATCTGTGGCAGTCACAGAAGTGTCTGTGCTACTCCTCCCTCAACTCAAGGAATGCAGAGCAGAGAAAAACATCTTCCACTTGGAGGAAAGGAAGGGAAGAGTACAGTAGACAGTGGACTCTGTCTTGCAACTGGGTACCAGCCCAGTTACAGTAAAATAAAGCACTGGATAAAATCCTGAAGCTTCCAATTTCAGGCCACTGTTCCCAGACAGCACTTCTAGACTCATCATAGGCCAGAAGGGAGTCTGTTCCCTTGAAGGAATGGCCCTGAGTTCCAGCCAGCTTCATCATCTGCTGACTAAAAGTAGTGTTAGGTCTTGAAAAATATCAGTGGCAGTCAGGCAACAGCGAACACAGCTTTAAGTGAGCCCTGGTAATGTGCTGGTCTGGGAGGCCATGTGCTTCAGGTACAACCAAGAGTGGTGACAGATGCAGTGGCCCATGTCACCCCTGCTCCAACTCCAGGAAGCTCAGCATGGAGACAGACTCCTGCTTCGGAGACTGAGAGGTAAGAGAGAACAAGGTACTTTGCCTAGAAACCCACGGAACTGTCCCTTATATTCCCTAAATCCATCAGGGCAGAGAGTATTTAGGAGTCGGCAAGAGTTCCAGCATACCCGGGATTAGGGTGCCCTCTAGTGGTGAAACAGCTGCAGTAACTATAGGCTTAGGTAAGAATATTCATTCAGTCCTTTTAGAATTCTCAGAAAGCCCTCTGAAGAAAAATGGGAATAAACAAGGCCAGACTGCAAAGATTGGAATAAATACCTTAACTCTTCAGTGTCCAGACACTGAAAAATGTCCACAAGAATCAAGAACATCAGGAAAATATGACTTCATCAAATGAATTCAAATAGGCACCAATGACCAATCCTAGAATGATGGAGATATGTGTGACCTCAGACAGGGAATTCAAAATAGCTATTTTGAGGAAGCTCAATGAACTTCAAGAAAACACAGATGAGAAACTCAGAATACTATCAGAAATTTAACAAAGAAATTGAACTAATAACTAAAAAACAAAACAAAACCTCAGAAAACAAAACACAGAAATCCTGGAGCTGAAAAATTTAATTTACAAACTGAAAAATACACGAGAGTATCTCAAAAGCAGACTTGATTAAACACAGGAAAAAATTAGTAAGCCCAAAGACAGGCTATTTTAAAAAAAAACACAGACAAGAAAATAAAATTTTTTTAAAAAAGGTACATTTACAAGATCTAGAAAATAATCTCAAAAGTGCAAATCAAAGAGTTACTGGCCTTAAAGAGAATGTAAAGAAAGACACTGGAGTAGAAAGCTTATTAAAATAAATAATAAGAGAACTTCTCAAGTCTAGAGAAAGATATGACTATTCAGGTTCAAGAAGGTCAAACAAAGAACACAAGGCAGATTCAATTCAAATAAGATTACCACAACATGTTTAATAATAAAACTCTTGAAAGTCAAAGACAAAGAAAGGATCCTAAAATCAGTAGAGAAAAGAAGCAAATAACATGTAAAGGAACTCTGATATGTCTGACAGTAGATACCTCAGCAGAAACCTTATAACTAGGTGGGAGTGAGATGACATATTTAAAATGATGAGTGGAAAAAAAAGACTAGGGGTGGAGGCTCACACCTGTAATCCCAGCATTTAGGGAGGCCGAGGCAAGAAAACCACCTGAGCCCTGGAGTTCGAAACCAGCTGAGGCAACATGACGAGACCTCATCTCTACGATAAAGCAAAAAAATTGGCCAGACACGGTGGCATGTGCCTGTAGTTCCAGCTACTTGGATGGCTGAGGCAGAAGGATCGCCTGATCCCAGCAGGTCAAGGCTGCTGTAGCCATGATCATGTGACTGCACGC